GAAGTGATATGTTGGTTTTTGCACCGTAACTCCACTTAAAAAAAAAAAAAACAATCAGTTATTGTGCTACATCATATGATCATGATGGAAAAGGTCAACGATTTGGAGAACTGAGACAAAAGATTTACTCAGGTTTACGTGACAGATTCACAAATATGCGGAGCGGCGACCTCTTCGCCGCTCGTCCTGGAATGTTGAGACGCTGACAGCAAAGAGGAACTCTTATCTGATTTCCGTGCAAACGTACTGTTTTTCTTAAAAAAGTGACTAAATATTTGAGACACATCTGCAGGAAAGAGCCGGCATCATTTTGGTTACTGGTTCAGTGTGATTTCATTTTTTATTTATTTTTTTTTTACCTTGCATCATGTGCTTTGTGCCGGGGCAAAATGGCTCACTGTTGTTGAGGATCTGGTCTGACAGGATTTCAGAGAACAGCACTGAAGGATGAATGCCACCTCGTCTGGCAACATTGCAGAAGCTTGACAGGAATTAGGCGTGGCAGCACCTAGAAGGAACTCCGCACTTTGAGATTTTTTACTTGACTTAGTTGGCTATAATTTTTTTAATTATAAAAATAAATTATGAAATAAATCTAATAAAAAATCATTAAAACAAAATATTAAAGCTTTAAAGTCAAAATGAAAAAAAGCATAAACTTGATGGTTGGATCTGGAAAAGAATAAAAGAAAGTGAGGCAAATTTCTAACCAAAGTTAAGCAATTGAAGATAAATATATTCTGTTCGGTGTTGGTTATTAAACATGTTTTTGTTTTTTTCAACAAAACTTATTTCAGTTGTGTATATATGAAGCTTGTATTAGTCGGAGCAGCTAGTTAAATGCAAGGCCCGTCACCGGAGAGGGTGTAACCGAAACTATGCAGGTCAGGGTGTGGCGCTGCTGGCTCTAAAAGCATAGGCTTGCTTGGATTTTTAAAGTTTTAAAATTAGTGATCCAAGGAAATTGGGTTATAACAGCAGCCAGACATGGTGATCTGTTTTATTAAAACGCTACATTTCAAAAATAAATTATACTTTAAAAGGTAATTGTGATTTTTAAGCGTTTTGAACACTGATAAGAAACCAACTGGAAAGTAGCAACTGCAGAGAAAAGGACTGATGGAGGCATTTTTCCCCACTTGACTAAAGTCAGAAAGTTTCTTAAACATGAGTCGGATTAGGAAAGGGAGTAAAGAATAAGTCTGTTACATTAGATCATTGTCATTAGGTCACCCTTCAAGTAATCCTTTCACAAAAAAAAATCGTAAACCTGGTTATCAAAGTTGTAAAGTCTTGAGACATGAAACTCTGCTACAGTAATTCAGAATTTTAATACGTTTTTTCAAACTTATCTATTTAAAATGCAATTGTTCCTCTTACATGCATACCGTAGATTTTTTTTTTTTTTACCCGGTACTCCGGTGAATTTATGATGCCTTCACTTGTTTATGTTTGTCTAAGAATACTAAAACAACTTGGCTTTTGAAGTGTAATGTCGTGAGACATGGAAATCTAGTAATTATTTGGAATTTTTATATATTTTCCAAACTTATTAGTTTATTTATTTATTTTTTTTACCGGGTACTCCGGTGAATCTATACTGCCTTCATAAAATTTTGTTTATATAAACCAAGCAAACTAAGTATTTAATCTTGGGATTTGGAAGCATATCAGTCATTTCTCAATATTTTTTAATCTATTTTTATAAGTGTTGTTTATACTGGTGAATTTATAAGGCATTCTTTCCCTATGTAGGAATAAAACCTAGATAAGTTTATAATATATGAAGCAAATAAACAACTATATAAAAATATTCTGATGCATGCTCAATAATCCAGGTAGGAAAATCTATAAAAGTTAAATCTGGTCCTCTGGACATTCAAAAAAACAAAACAAAAAAAATGTTAATCTTACATGATTTTAACTGAATGTGGAAAATTATGGCTTTACAAAGTAAAATCTGATCAGTACGACTAAATCAAACGTTTAAAGGTGAAATTTTAATTTATTGTTGCCTTTAGGTCTGTCTGGTGCCTTGTTCAGGGCTTGGGGAAATTCTGGGTCAGATGACAAGGTTTTAATTTCTCAGCAGCCTGTTGATGTCACAGTTTTTATTTTTAGTAAACATGAATTTTGTATTTGGATCTTTTGGGAACTTGGAGCAGATTTTCGTCACTAATAACTGGATTTGTCCCACACTACCTTAGTCTCACGGGGTTTTTTTTTTTTTTTACATTTCAGCTAAACTAAAAGAGGTTAAAATAAAGAACATTCCGTAGCTTTGTTTGGTATTGACGTCGGTACTTTTCATAACAGCAGTCACAAGGAACTGGCTTTGAAACTGGAGCAACTGGTTTTTATGAGCAGTTTCAGGCCAAGTCACACACACACGCCGCAGGGTTTCATTCTCAGTGTCTGCTCTTTGTTTTGGTGTGAACGTTGCATCCAACAGCGGTGAATTCTGTGAAAGATGACTGGACGTGGCAACAACGTGGGTTCAGAATAAAACAAGATTTAATTCAAGCAGACAGGCTTGTGATCATGTTTATTTCATTATTTCAGATCATTATGTTGCAAAACTGAAAACATTAACTAATTATTAATTATGTAAAGTGTATTTTATTTTTACTTAGTTACACTTAACGTATCTTCACTGATATTTGCTTTGTTCACCATGTTTTCAATCATTTCTAGGGATGCATTCAAGCTTCACAGTTTAACTCGTTTTTATACATTTTCTCCTGATCCAGTACGTTTGAGGCATTTTTCTCTCAATCCAGTACTTTAGATGTAATTTAATAATAATGTCATCACAATGTCAGCACTGTATGTTTCCATACACTGGTGAAATTAGTCTCTGCATTTAACCCATCCACCACTAGGTGGTGCTATTTTACGGCGGCGGCTATTGAGGGCGCTGGGGGGGAGCATTTTGGGGATGAGGTGTGCTGCCCAGAGACACCACGCGGTATGCAGTGACTGGGGATCGAACCTGGGACTTTCGGGTCCCAAGCTGGCTGCCTTGCCTCTACACCATCTCAGTCCCCATAGTACTTTTGAGGCATTTTGCATCTGATGTACTTTAGATGCAATTTTTCTCTCAATCCAGTACTTTAGAGGCAATTTTCTCTCAATCTAGTACTTTAGAAGCAATTTTTCTCTCAATCCAGTACTTTAGATGCAATTTTTCTCTCAATCTAGTACTTTAGAAGCAATTTTTCTCTCAATCTAGTACTTTAGATGCAATTTTTCTCTCAATCCAGTGCTTTAGAAGCAATTTTTCTCTCAATCTAGTACTTTAGAGGCAAATTTTCTCTCAATCCAGTAATTCAGATGCAATTTTCCTCCTGATCTGGTACTCTAGATTAAAGGAAAAACAACATGAGATTAGTCATTTCTTTTCTTAAAAGGGCATCAAATAAATCATATAAACTTTTTTTTTAGATGGGTTTTAAAAGTTTTTGTATCTTTTTTTTTGAGTTCCTGATTATACTACCGTAATTCTTTATGTAAGGTGTTTTATATGTAAAATCATCCATTCAGAAATTAAAATTTATGAAGTCGGGTTCAATTTGCAATTCCAAATTGCATCGTCATTGCCTAGTTACATAAATAAGCTTACTGTAAGCGACCAGTAAAAGAAAACAAAAAACTTTACGCCTATTGATAAAACATCCAAGAATGTAAAGTTGTAGATTAAAACTAATTTTAAGTGGTATTAATGTGTTTTTAATAGTGAAAAATAAATCACTTTCAAGTTTTAGGGATTGTAATGATTTAAAATGTTAACAGAAATGGCAACAAAACACATTTTTATTTACTCACTAAAATATTGCTGTAACCTATTGTTGTACATTAAAGCTTATTTAGCAGCAGAAGTTAAGGCAGTTTTTAAAAAGTTTATTCTTCAAATGATTATTTTTCCGTGCGTCAGTTACAGTTCAAGACTAAAATTGTAAATTGCACCGAATAAACATTAATAAAGCTCTATAGTTTGTATATATGTTACACAAGCCCAATTAGTTTCTTTTCATATTCAAACTTATACTTGGAAAAATCTTACAGTGAACTTGTCTCTGAGCTGCATTCCTCTTCAGAGATCAAGAATTAAACTTTACTGGAAGACACCTGACAAAGTTTACCGTTAGCATATCAGATTATATCAGTTTTGTTGCACTGAAACGAATAGGTTGGTATGCTCAAATTATTTTGATATAAAACAATAAAGTTAAAGCATCTTGTCTAAAAAAAAAAGATGTTTCCTGCTTGGTCTGTAAGAGACCCGTGCAACTTTTGAATGTTTCTGTGGATGCGCATCATTTAACATGCAAAGTCTCGGCGCTAATGAACATCCTGAGTTGATGCAAAGTTTTTAGACCCATTTGTCAAGATTAGTCAGTCTACTGTGACGACAAACTAAACGAAACAAGTAGCTTGATTTAACACAGGTTAGTATTCTCTTCAGACTGCCACGCTACTTGGTTGTTTGTCTTTGGAAGTTAATCGCAGCCGTCGGAAGCCTTTTTTTTTTTGTGGTTTTAACACCGTGTACACATCATGACCTCGACTTTACATAAACAAAGCTTAAATTTGAGGAAGTTATTCCATGATAAACAGGACAAGGAGCTTCTGTGGAGTACATCAACAGGAAAAGACCTAAGCAAATAATGTATAGTGTAAAGAAGTTTCTATAAGCATGTGTTTTATGAATGATTGATGTGACCATGTTGGAAATAAACATGCAAGTAACAGGCTCAAGTGTCAGTAAATGTTAGTGCACATTAGCAACGTCTATCACCACAAGCTTTGTGTTATTATTTCATTTTTAACGCTCCATTTAAAGTGTTTGAATTGATACGGAATGTTGAAACAGGTGAAACTGCTCAAACTGAAATTAATCTTCTTTTCATTCTGGTAACAGGATTTCATCTTGTTTTTATCTTCTGTTTCCATCTCTTCTCCACATCCCCTATCCTCCTTTTTCTTTCTAAACCCAACAGGTCAAACTCTGAAGTGCTACCAATGTCAAATTGGCTTTTGGAACCTGTGCTTTACCAAAGAAGTCACATGCCAAGATGGAGAAAAATGTTTCAGCGGTGACGGGAAAGCAGGTGAGATGTCCATCTTAAAAAAATAGTTGTATCTAATGACGATCTCTTCAACTATTTTTTGACATCAGCTTTCCAACAAAAAACTTCCCTTCCCCGACAGCATTCCTGAAACGCACCGTCCTGAAGCCGAGCCAGGGAATAAAAAAATGTCGTTAGCAAACATAAAATTGTGTTTATCAAACCGTAGCGACGAGGCAGTTTTAAGTTCAGAGAAACAGTCGCTAAATCTTTTATTTTGTGGTCAGGTAATCTGATGATCACAAATAAACTTTATATAAAACTGTTCGAAAGCCGAAGTCGAACACTTATACAAGCGGTAGTGCTCGTAAACTTACATTAACTGCTTGACTACTTCCTCCTTCTTATGTAACCTCGGGAGTATTCGTTTATTAACCGATAATTAAATTAAGCCGTAGTAGCCGATAAAATACCTGATATTAGTGATTCAACTTTAATGCGGCCAACACAGTCTGTACGTCATTGTAATCTCAAATTCATCAGGGTTCCATTAGAAAACAAACCTTTCTTGCTTTTGTTTACAAATTCTTCGGGTAGAATTCGGAACATCTTGGCGCTCGCTGCTTCTCGTAAGAAGAGAGAAGAACTTAATGTTCGCTTTCGATCTTAAATCTGATTTCACTGTCTTTTAAATAGATTATCAATGACTGAAACCTTAAAATCACCTTAAAGCAAATGCACTGACTCTTGTGTCTCCCCACAGCTGGTTTTGTCAGTGTCAAAATGAAGGGCTGTCTTGTAGTGGCTAACTGCAACAAGACTACGGATGAGTCGATCTCCATCAGCAATTCCAGCGCCACCCTGTACAAGATGACGAAGACGTGCTGCAACACAGACCTGTGCAACGGTGCCCCAGGCCTGCCCGGGGCCTCTGGGCTGAGCCTGGCCCTCGCCACCATCTCCGCTCTGTTTGTGGCCAACATTTTGGTTTAACACAATGAAACAAAGTGCACAAATGCAAAACGAACCTTTTTGTACAAACAGCACTACAACATCTAAATTACTTTAGCATTTTTTTTTGTTTTTTGTTTTTTTCTGATCTAGTTTGTGGGTTTGTTGTTTTTTTAAAGGGGGGGGGGGGGTGTTTTTTGTAAGCTGACCTCCCTTCTGTTTTGCATTTTTGTACATGCTTCATCTGTTATTTCAGTCACACAACTGCATGACAAATGTGGCCAAAAAAAAAATGGTGTGCTAAAATTCACAAACTTAGTCACAAGATGGGTATTTCTAGTTTACCATTTGCTCAAGTTGACCCGAGATGGAAATGATTAAAATTGGTACTACTCTCACATTTGTTGGTTCTGAACCAGCATTGGTCAGAGGATTAGCTTAGCATGGCTTAACATGGACTGGGAACTGCTAAAACTATTTGCTCAATCAGGTTCACTCGCATATTTATGCACCATTTTTCGGATACTACTGCGCATGCTCAGTATTTGGTAGTCTAGATTTATTCATACCTACTTTCAGTTCTTTGACATCGAATCGACTTTGTCATTTGTGCATATTTTGTTGCCGTCACCAGCTATGGCCTCCTTATCCAACAAGAAATTATTGGAAATTATTCTTACGTTTGATCTTTGTTTTTACTTTTGTCAACTGTTGGTCTTCTGCCAATATATTCTACCGCAGCTACCAGAAATGGCTATGAATGTAATTGGGAATGGGGTATCTGACTTGGCGTATGAGCATTGGTTTCCACTAAAAGGTCCATTGCAAGTGTAAAAAAACCAAACATTTAATGTATATTGCTTTAAAAACAAATATTTTAGATGGCAACATGTTAGCAGTTTGTGTCTCTTGAGCCCCTTTTCCATTAGTAACAGTACAGCACAGTTCGACTCAACTCGGCACGGTTCCAAGGCTTTTCCACTAGCACTTATTCATGGAACAGGTCCCCTTTTCTCTGGGGTTCTAATCGTGCCGTACTGGCCTTAAAATGTGACGTCAGAACACTGTCGGTCACTGATTGGTCAGGGGGTGGAGTCACCGGTTGTTTGAGAAACTTTCACAACAACCCGAACCGCCATTTGCAATAACTCGAGGAGGGTCTGGACCAATTTTTAAGATTTTAAAAACAATAATGACAACACCATGGGTGATGGATGGAGCTACCCCGGTCCTCTCCACCAGAACCTTGGAGCCCCCTCAGGCCGCTCCAAGCACCGTCGGTCACCACGGAGGATCCTCCGTGCTACCGACCCACAGGAGCCGTTACTGAAAGTATAATGGAAGCAAAACTCATACCATGCTGTGCCGAGTCAAACCGCTCTGTACCGGTTCTAATGGTACTAACGGAAAAGAGGCTATTGTTAGCTAGGCTAACGGTACTTTCATGTTTTCCAAACATTCCAGCTATTCTTTGAATCGACGGCCATTAATCTCCTGAATTATTGAGTAAAATGAGCTTTTGTACACATTTCAATTTCTACTCATTTCAAACTGAACTCTGTTGACCGAATATAAACCAAGATACATTACCCTGTTGAGTTGGTTTGCATTTTTCATGTGTAACCCCTCAAAGCTCGGACAGTTGATGCTTTTATTTTTGATCTAAAATAGATGTTTGCCTAAAAGTTATGGGATGTAAGCTTACTTTGTTTTTGGACTATGCATGTATGTAAAGCATATATGGTGTTTATGGAAAACGTGCACTGCTTCAGATGTTCAGGTGTAATTGAAAGACTGTTATGATAAATCTTAAGAGTTTACCATTTGATAGAAATGTCTAAGGCCCTCCTTAAGCTGTCTTTTTAATATTTTCTCAAAAATGAAACTCTTTCAGGGAATTGATACTTTGAGAAAATGTTCTTGGCAATGTTCAAAATAAACACGGGGGGAAGTAAACCTGTGAGAGGTTGTTGGCGTGATTTAGTTTCTTCCGTGAATGTCCGTAATCGACATCCTGCAAGATCAACTAGTCAAATGACAAGTTTGTTTTATTCAAATTACAAGTTTAAGATTACCGTCTTTGACAACTTGCAGCTTTGTTGAAGAACTGTCAATAAGTAAAATGGGAGAAGGTGAACACAAAGATTGAAGTCTTCTGGCTTCGAAGCCCCACTTCAAACACAATTGTCACCATTTCATAGCCATTTCTGTTCATCTCTTGCCTTGCTCAGTAACCCTAGCCTTGGACCAAGTTCTCTTTAGACCCTAATATAAATAATGTTTGCTATAACTTCAGCTACTCATATTTCTAATTATTCTTTATTATCCGTGCTTTAGTGATATAGCACCAATCTTTAACCGATATCCAACCAGATGAGTAGATTGTATAATGTAGTTTAAAACGTCTGTGAAGTAGAGTTTCAGGAAACTTCAAGGTGGTAGAAAGATACACATTTCAGGTCTTTTTTTTTTTTTTACTCTGGATTGAAGTGATCAAGCCTGACAGAGCAGAAACACAGTGACCAATACCCAACAAGACCATAGTGTCATTTAGAGCCAATACAAATTGGTTAAATACTAGTTTATTTACATAAACCAATATTTCTAGGTGTATTTAAAGGGAAAATATTTGACTTTTTTTTAAGTGAAATGTGGTAAATGTTACAAATTGGTATTGCTATGCTGCAAATCAGTCAATGCATATGCCACCTTAGTTTTGGGGAGAATTAGCATTTTCAAACTATTGTTGCGCAAAAGTATCCTAAAATGAAATAAAACTTTTAAACACCAAGCCGTTACTAATGGTGCATTTCCAAATGTTGGATTTCCTCTTAAAGTCTCCGGCCCTCTTGGATACTACTTGAACTAAAGTCGACTTCACTTGCAGCAAAACAAAATGTGTTTGCTGTTTATTAATTAGAGGCAGACAAGAAGGAGACTCGAGATGTTTTTTTTTTCTTTTTTTTTAATCTCAGCAGGCAAATAATCTGCTCAGTTTAGGAACCCAAAGGTATCATTAGGAAAATGATGGAAATGGATGAGTGGAAGGGTGAAACGGGAAACCAGTACATTGCACTGCATTAACCCTCCTGCTGCCAAACTGTGGCCTCGTGGCTCATTTTGACCCAAAGGCAGCAGCAGGGTTAATGGGGGCTAACTGGATTTATGATGGACCATTTTCCTGTAAGCTCTGAAGTTCAAGCGTGAACTGGTGTTTAGATAAACTACATTAGTTTAGCAGAACAAGTTGGGAGAGGAAAAGTTGACAAGTGGAATGATTGGTGGTGGGGCGAGGGAGGGGGTGATCAAGAACATACCTGATGTGTTTTGAGGTGTGGCTTTATGCCAGAACATGGGTTTATTAATGTATGTATTTAAGCAAACATGCCACTCCTCCAACTGCTGAAACATTATAAAAAGATCTGTCTTCAGAAACAAGCTCCTCAGTTTTGACTTTGTGCATTTTTTTATAACCTTGGAGACGAGCAGCTTCGGGCCTCGTGTGGAAACTTGTTTTTTTTTTTTGTCCTCGAGACAAAACCAAGAACCCGACCAACAAACCGAGATGGGGAAGTTCCTTTTTGCTGTCGTTGCAGCTGTTGCATCTTTGGCTCTGGGTAAGAAAATAGCAACGTTCCTAATTCGTTGATTAATTGTTTTCACTAAAATATGCTGCATTGCAAAGCGATGAAAAATGCACCTGACGTTTCAAACAATATAAATGGTTTGAAAAGCAGAATTGGATTTCTCAACACTAAAAATTGTATGTGCTGTTTAGAGAAGAAAGTTGATAATGTGCCAACAAAACTGTAACGAACCAAACTTTCATTGAAAAGTAACGTGTATCGCTACTAAAGTTAGCATTAACCAAACTTCAATGGAAGGAGTTTTCCACAAATAATATAAAAAAAATGTGTAAAAAGTTTGAAAACCCAAAGCGAGTAATTCTCATCTTCGCTGGTTTGCTGCAAAATTTTTATGGATATTTTTCTAAATTAAGTTAAATCATAGTTAGCGAGGTCATTTGTTATTTTTTCTTTAATAAATGTGTATTTTATAAACAAAATCTCTAAACCAGATGAAAAACATCACTAGATTCTTTTTATATACTTAACTTTTGGATGTTCCACAGTGAGGGGGGGTTCAATATATTTTATATCAGCTAAATATTGAGCACAAAGCCACACTAATCTGATATAAGCAAGCCTTGGAAATTGTCAGTAATATTTAAAGAGTAAAAATGTATGATTTTAAACCAACACTGGCCAAACAAGTAAAATCATGTTGCCAAGCAAAGCTCCACAGGAAGGTCTGGATGAGTTCATCCAATAGACGCTTGGTCAAATCAGTTTGCTGGAGTTTTCAGTTTTTCTCTTTAATCTCTGTCATAATTCCTCCGTTCTGCTGGAATTTAGTTTTCATGCCAGCTCTTGCACTGTCGTGTCTTTCAGTGGAGTCCCTGGTCTGCAACCAGTGCGCCTTCAATGTGCTGGGTCGATGCGTCGGCTCCAAAAATGTCACCTGCAGCACCAACACCAGCGTCTGCTACACTGACAAATACAGTAAGTACTTTATAAAATGACCAACTTGCACCTTGTCTGCTCAAACCATTTGTAACGGCACAAGGACAATGATAATTAGCCCACACCCAGTCATACACCGGTATAGTCACCCCTCCAGTTTAACATATGACCAGGCATTTGTTTTATTTTAAGCCCAACATATTGTAAAGCATTTTGGGGATTTGTATGTATAATCTTCTGAAGCTATGTGCCAATAGAAATCTACTCTTTAATAAAAGGATGAAAATGGGGAGAAAAAAAAAGTTTTTTTTTCTTGGAAAATAGTAACTCAACATTGAAGACATCTGAACGTACCAATCTAACTTGTCTATTTCTCCACAGCATTCACCGTCTTCTCTGAAAACCTGAGCTTCAACACTTCCGGCTGCAGGGACACCAGTAACGCCTGTAGTAACAGTACCACTGGCAACGTGTTGGGCATACAGGCGTTCCCTTTTTCTTCCACAACTGAATGCTGCACCACAGATGTCTGCAACAAGCTTACTTTAACCAGCGCAGCTCCATCTACCAAGATGACCTTAATGGTTGCCATTGGTGGAGCCGTCCTGGCCTCTGTGTGGGGAAGCTTCCTGTAAAACAAGTACACAAACTGTTAGCTGCTTTCAGATTCTCCTGAATTACATTTGTGCAATGAAGAGTGAAATGAACCAACTTTATATAACCAAAAACCTTATCCAGATAAGAAAATTAAACTTATTGATTTAAGTACTCGTTCTATGATCAAATGAACGCACATTACAGTTTACAGATGCCTCAGTCATGGCAGTTGATCAATGGGATGTTTCAGGGAAACATTGAGCTCTTAAATCTTTCATAATGTTGCTTTTCTGTATCAATGTACTGTATTTTTTATTCTAAATGTGACTTACTGAACAAAACTGGTTTCAATTAAATAAAAACTATTTCCAAAAAAAGTTCTGATGTGTCCTAGAGCAGTTAAGACTTGACAAGAGTTCAACACCACAGGGATACATGTGGAGGACAGCAAGTTCCTCCCTACGGTTGCTTTGACAAGTTTACATTGAATCATCGTGGAGAAGCCAGCTGCCGAAACGTTTGGAGAAACGTTTTATGGGCAGACAAGACCAAAATGGAGCTATTTGACCACAATGACAAGAAAGAACTTGGTTTGGAGGCGTCAAGGTGAGGCTTGGTAAACTGTCTAGCACGGTCTTGCTAATATCATATTGTACTGGTCCATTGTACTTTGTAAAAGGGGCAAACTAATAAAGAACAAAGAGGAATATTTTGTGGTCAGTTATTGCTTCAATGCACATTATGCATTTTGTATATTAAAATAAATCAGATATAATTATTATTGAAGCAAAAATACTTAAAAACCTAACAAAAATTTAAATATTTCTTAGAAAATGCATTAGGAAGAGATGCATTTAGCAATATGTCAATTTGCCCTCCTAGACCCCGTCGGCAACTGATGCATCCAGCAGGACTATCGGAATGGCTGACAAGGAAACAGGTGGATATGGTGCGAAGAAAATAAGTGAAAATATATCATTCAATTCAATTCAGTTTATTTATATAGCACCAAATCACAACAAAGTTGGCTCAGGGCACTTTACAGTAGCATTAACATACATAAAAGCCAATTAGTAAAATTCTCTATCTAAGGAATCCAGCAGACAAGTTGAATCTTGGCTTCGTTGCAGTTTCCCATCCTGAGCAAGCACAGTGGCAACAGTGGAAAGAAAAAACTCCCTTTTAAAAGGAAGAAACCTCCAGCAGAACCAGGCTCAGGACAAGCGGCCATCTGCTTTGACCGGCTGGTTGAGAGGACAGGAAGGAGAGACAGACGAACACAGAATGGTAGGTCCAGGTATAGGTCCAGGTGTATCTGAAAGACAAAAAAACACATGTTAAGGATAGAAAAAATAATTACAAATACAAAACAGGTTGAGCAGAGTAAGTAAAGACAGTAGCAGAGTGAAAAGTGTGGCCAGTTTGTCCTCCCGCAGTCTTAAGTCTATAGCAGCATAACTAAGGGACAGCTCAGGAAACCCAAGCCGACCCTAACTATAGGATTTAGCAAAAAGGAAAGTCTTAAGCCTAGTTTTAAAACTGGATAATGTGTCAGCCTCACGGACAGAGATTGGAAGTTGGTTCCACAAGAGAGGAGCCTGATAACTGAAAGATCTGCCTCCCATTCTGTTTTTGTAAATTCTAGGAACCACAAGTAAACCTGCAGTCTGAGAGCGAAGCGCTCTGTTAGGAAAATATGGAACAATAAGATCTGTAATATAAGATGGAGCCAGGTTGTTGAGAGCTTTGTAGGTTAGAAGTAAGATTTTGTATTCTATTCTGGACTTGACAGGGAGCCAATGGAGAGAAGCTAAAACTGAAGAATGATCTCTCCTACTAACTC